AAGTCTCGTAAAAAAAAAAAAGCTATATAAAATTCACTATTTTTTTATCCATAATCCTGAAGGTGTTAAAATTATTAAACTTTTTAATAATAAATCTCAAGTTGATGTTAAAAATTTGTCGCAAAACTTTCATTTATTTAAGATGGAATTATTTATTATGACATGTCTCTAATTTGCAGGGAGGTAAGGTGGAGTAATGGATAGCAGCTCGGATTGAGGAATTGAGAGCCGAGTTCGAATTCCAATCGAATCCATTACATTCACTTACGTGCTAATACCCTTGGGAAAGGTATGAATCCTCTTCTTCTCCCCCAAGCTATCGGTTCTATAGCTTTGGATGGAAAATGGTCTACCGCAGAATGAAATGGCAACCTACTGCGGGGAAAAAGCTCTACCTCGTCAGTCATGTATCGCAATGTACATGATCGCCTAATCGTGTATCACGCATGGCACACAACTGACTCTAATTTATATTTAGATACATTGTATTTATTATCACTTTTTCTAGTTGAATTGTTCACCTATATTGCATCTAATCCATTATTTTACATAATTAAGTTACAATCAAATTTATACTTTATATGAATACTACCTTATGAAAATGTAGTAGAGTGGGAGGGTCGGGGAGCCCCCGTATCATAGACTCAAAAGGGTACACGATACCCTTGCACCGATCGTGGTCATGGTTTACGGTCAAATCGAACTGAACGCACCGGTTTTCGTCTGACCAATAAAGAATCGTTGAACATAGATAGCAATTAGATTAAAATACTTACGAACAAACAGTACTATCAGTAACTTGTGGTCTTGCGCCAGACAAAAAAATAAATCTTACAAAATAAAATAATTCCAGTTGTCATTTGTTTTGGTTTGTAATTAAATCGGACATACAGAAGTTCCATGTAATTTACGTATCACCTTGTTTTTAATCAAACCTTTATTGGAATGTTCACCTCTCTGCTCCTGAACAAGTCTCTTTCGAGTATTGATTCATTGAAATCCAATGAACCGTGGAAACAGCATTACATTTCAGACATCTTGTAACAGACAAATACGCCAACGATTGAATGACTCATTATGAAAGGAATTTATTTAACTCACCCATGAAAAGGAATTTTTAATGTGTCCGTTTTTATTTTAACACTAACGAAGTAAAAAAAAAATTATGTAACGTGTCTCTTCAGCACATGGTTGATAATGGCTCTCCATAAGTTCCTGTCCCCTTGTAACACTAAGCAATATTTGACTCTTTACCATCCTTCTTTGTTCCCAGTCTACCATCCATTCAACAAATTCATTTTCCCTCTGCCTCTTCTGTCTTCAACATGTCATATGTGTGCTAAATTTTCCAAGCCTCCTTTCGTCATTAAAATCACGTTGAAATACATGTTCTCGCAGGATCACCGAAGTTAAGCAACGTCGAACCTAGATGGTGCCCACTTGGGAATAGCAGGTGCTTTAAGCTTGGATGTGTGAGTTTCAAATCCATTCAAGTTCACTTATATTCACTTACACGCATATACTATTGGGAAAAGTATGAATCTTCTCCCCCAGCTATGGGTTAATTAGTAGTAATTGTATCAGTAAATCATCATTATATCCAAAACATTCTTACAATCTAAAATATATACAAATAAAATACATATAATAAAAATATTATATATAAAATATATATAATAAATAAATATATATATATATATATATATATATATATATATATATATATATTTTAAAGTGAAAAAATTTAAAAAGTTGAAAATACCGCTTAAAACCACAACCCCTAAAGACTGGAAATTTTATCAAGAAATTTTACCAAGAAACATTGATGTCGGGATAAAAATGATATTTAAAAGTTATATATATATATATATATATATATATATATATATATATATATATATATATATATATATATATATATATATATCAATAACCAGCAAATGGCTGATAAGCCGTAAAAAGAAATCAATCAAGTCAAATGCTTACTGGAAACGAAGGAAAATTATAAATTATTACAGGAATAATAAATAAATACGGTATATTCTACGTTATCTATTGGTCTTACAATATTACAATTCCCACTTTCGAAGCACCTTACGATTGGGAAACATATACAGAAAAGACAATATATATGAAAATATAGTTAACATGAGAAAAAGTTTAATTATAAATATATAATATAATCAAAAGAAAGTGCTTACTTCACCATTCTAAGCTGGATTACAAATAATAGATGAATATTACAGGTAACAAATATAAGTAACCTACAAATAAAGATGTACTACGTATTATCATTAATAAATAAAAGAAATACTATTAATAACAAAATAAGTAAATGACACCAATGATGATGATGAGGAGGAGGAGAGGGGTGATGAGGAGGAGGAGAGGGGTGAGGAGGAGAGGGGTGATGAGGAGAAGGGTGATGAGGAGGAGGAGAGGGGTGATGAGGAGGAGGATGGTGGTGCAGAACTGTCTTGACGGTTAACAGCAAGGAAAATGGAAATGGTCACTTGATTTCAAATTCTGGTTGACGTAATTTACATTTACTTCGATCTAATATTTTTTTGGGAAAGTCACCTCTTCTGACAGGCAAAGTAATGTGCTAGGATTTTAATAATAACAATTATTCCCTGATCTAGTAGGTCGACGAGGTAACATAGTGGGTATTTCTCAGAGCATATCCTCTAGGAATAATACAAGAATAAAACTTGTTACATATTATTCCTAGAGAAGTTCCCCCGAGAAATACCACGAAGGACTCACTATGTTACCTCATCGACCTACTAGATCAGGGAATAATTGTTATTATTAAACATTTCTTTTTGAATTCCATTTTTTTTATAATCCCATGCCCTGTCATAACAATTGACCTAAGACAAACAAAGGATGTGATATTTTTCTTGTTTTCCTTTAATTAAAAAAAGATAGTTATTAACAAACTATTATTATTACAGATTAATTTATTCATTCTGCTATTGTTTGGAGTCAGAAGTTTGTGCATATGTTTGGTAAGGAATTCCGTCAACTTCATACCTAGGAGAAGGTGTCTATATTCTTTCAACTAATAATTTGAATTTAATCTGAGAAGTATTTGAATCAAACATGACTGATTTTATGAAAAAAATAATTTCACTAAAATTTATTCATATGATGCTGCCAAATGTAGCAAATATATTTTTCCAAGAACAAGCATGGCAATGCATAGCTTAAAGATATGAAAAGAAAACGGAAGCTATGGTGACACTTAATTGACTAAATCCTGAAGAGACATGACGTTTAAGGAGAAAGAGGAGTTGGTTATCATGGGCTTTATTTATCAATACTTATTATTTATATTCTGATTATTCTCTTCATCGGAACAATAGCCTAGTGGATTAATGCTCCAGTTCATTGATTTGTAGAAATGATTGTACACCTGTGGAAGACCGACAGGTAGATCGACCGGAATGGTGTAGTAATAGCAAAAAACAAGAATTAGGTAAAGAATCAAAATATCTTTTGGAAAAATAAAAGTAACTGTAAAAACCAGATTAGGAAGTCCATTAATAACTTCCGCGTGAGGATTCTCGATAGTATAAAGAAAGTTATAATTTATTATAGATATAGTTTTGTGGATCTATTTTCTCCTCGACACTGGTTATACAGTTTTGCTTTAAAAAGAAAATAAAGGAAGGAAAAAGTCTACATAAAACAGTATTGTCAGGTTTTCTTCTTGATAGGTTGTGTTGTACACGAGTGGTAGTCTACTCCAGAATATGTCCTCTCTCTCTCTCTCTCTCTCTCTCTCTCTCGAACAGCGAAACGTTTGGTACCTACCAACACCAGCACGTAACATTCCCGACGTAAATGCATTTTGTTGAACATAACCTGCTTACTTGTGACTTTTGCAATCTTGAGCACTTTGATGTTTGTCATGAAGTCGTAACAGTACACACATGGCACGAAAACAGCACTGGTTGAAGCGTTTTAGTAGATGGAGGTGACGGCTGCTGATAACTCACGCTTCGACATCATATATAAAGGTTGTCAGCTTAACAGCTTTGTAGATTTTAAGTTGTGTTTTTCCTAATGTTGTTCTTTCTTTCTGCATTCACGCTTTCACAGTCTACCAAAGAATTTGTTTGCCATATTCCAATTATGTTATCTCCCAATAATCCGGAGTAGATCAATTTGTCTCCATTAGGCGGCTGCTTCGGTGAGGCGCTGTCACATATAAACAATTTAATTAACTGTTTCTCAGCTTGAGTATAAAATATGTATCTTAGAAAACATAGAATAAACGATTGTTCCGTTTCTTTTCTCCCTCTCCAATTCTCTCATTGACATGTCCTTTCAGGGCGTTAGCGATCATGGCTCTCTATAGCTTCCTCTCTTTTGTTGCTTTCAACAATACTTGGTCCTTTAGAACTCCTCTTTGTCCTTGTGGTACTTATTCCACAATCCATTTACTCGAACTTATCAAGTAGGTTATTCTCTGTTTTTCCTGTTTCCCTTTCCTTCAAGATGTCCTGTGAATTTTCCAAGCCTTATTTCCTAATTATGTGCTTCCAAAAAATTTCACTTGTTTTTTTCTGATTGTTATCAGTACTTACTTTGTTGTTTTTATTCTTAAGATTTCATAACTTCTCTCGTATAATCTCTTCAAGGTATTCTCAAAATGCAAACGTTTCTGTAATTTTATAATGAAAACTTTAAGATATTTATTTTTTGTGTCATTTTTTTTATTATTGGTTTAATAACAGATTGAACTGCATTAATTCTTATTTCATGTATGTTTGAAGAATTTATCGTGAGAGCTCTGTTATCTATAATTCATCTGACATAAGTAATTGCGTGCGAACAGAATCTTAAGATATTGAATAGTCAAAAAAAAGGAGGTTATAAGAAAAGTACACGATACGTTATTCCCTGGTTAGTGTCTCATACAGAGAGGGCAAGAGGAAAGCAACGAACAACCTACTTGGTGAGCTTGAACGAATGGATGTCGGACATCCAAGCTTACAGCACCTAATATTCACAAGCGGTCACCCATCGAGGTACTGACCAAACTTGACGTTGCTTAACTTCGGTGATCGTATGAGAACCGGTGTTTCAACGTGATATGGCCGTAAGTCCGTGATATGTTCGTGTAAAAATGGATAGCTGACCAAGTTCCACAAAGGCAAGGTAAGGTTATAAAGGAACAAGACTAATAATGCAACAACAAAAAAAGTGAAGAATCATGTTCGTTCTACGTGACATGGGAGAGAGAGTGGGGGGGGAGGAGAGAAAGAGAGAACAAAGTGTAACTTACGATTTTTTTCCATTGCTTTTTTTCTGGCCAATTGAATAAATGCTAAGACAAATGATTAACCATTTATTAGACATAACGCCAATCAGTGAGCACCTCGACATGGTGTAATGGCTAACCAAACTTGTCTCGCTAGAACAATATCGACCGATTAGTGAGTTCGTTCCTCACTGGGTACCCGATACTTTCAGCCTTGTGCCACATCTAAGGTACCCTTGGAAAATCATCATATTGCCATTTCGACGTAGTGTAATGGTTAGCAAGATCAATTACTACCGATTAGTGAGTTCGATCCTCACTGGGTGCCCCATACTTTCAGCCTTGTGCCACATCTAAGGTACGCTAAGAAAATCACCATAACATAAATCAGCTAAGTTAGAAACTTTATATTTCATTTGTATTTGTATCTTATACATCAGGCGCCAGTAATTAATTAAAACACTAGTCCCTGCTAAAGTTAGCTATGGATGTAAACTCTAACAGTTTTTCAGTGCGAATATTGTACTAGGTGTGTTTTTTTTATATATGGCCCGGAAACCACTCGATGTAGAGGGGTAGTTTATATGGAAAGAAGGGGAAGATAACGGTTTACTCTAGACTTGAACAGGTTAAGATTGTAGTGATCGGGAAAACATCCTCTTTGGAGTCGTTTCCATAGGGCAGTAGTTCGCAGGAAGAAGCTGTTTTTGTGGGGGCAAAGTAATAATGGAGGAGAAATCTGTTCAAGAGTTTAATTTTACAAAGCAGAAATGTTCATTTTTGAGAAGCATATTTTTAGTTTTATAATAAATCAAAAAAAGCAAATAAGAAATAAAAACCATACCTTTAGCAAAGGAAATTAATTTTCTTTTTTATTCTTTTTTGGGCTTCTCGTGAGTGTGCGACAAAAATGTCTGTTCGGTAACTGACTTTCACAATTACAAACTTATGTACCTTAATTTTTTAACTTACTTCATGGCAGACATTGACATATCTTCATCATTTTGTTATCCCAGGCCGTATTTCTATTACGGTCTTATTTTACCAAAACTTCAAAAAAATAATTAGCTGCAAATCATTGTAACAGATTTACTCACGACAATGTCGTCTCCAATGCATTCTTCCTTTTGTTTCAAGTGCAACTGGTATTCGAATCCACCAGACTCACACCATTCTCTCTTTTTTTAGATCCGTTACGGCACTACCGACGTTCAACCTGGAATGACTCTGACCCCAACGCTGACCAGCAGTCCACCCACAATCAGATACGAAGCAGAACCCGGATCGTTTTATACAGTTATTATGAACGGTAAGTTAAACAAATAATTTATTTAGTCAATAGTTTTTCATCACTTCTTACTTACACGTGACTTCGTTGGTCGAAAATAATCAAATGCATTCAATTTAAAATATTTATGGCTTCACAAGACATAAAAGAATTTGAAACAGCGCAGTAGTTAGAAAGATACACATTCTTTTTCTTCTATGTTCCTTGTCCCTACAGGATGTGGGCGATCATGGCTTTCCCCAACTTCCTATCTTTTGTAGCTATTAGCAACGTTTATTTATTTATTTGTTTTACTATTTTCTTCAATCCTTCTCTACCAACCATTTACACAAGGTCGTTAGGTAGGTTATTTGCTGCTTTCCCCTGGCCCTCAATGTGCCCTGTGAGTGTCAAATTCTCCATGTGCGCTCGAAATTTCAACGATTTCTGTCCAGAAAGGATCCAGCCATACTCATAAGTAGATAAATAAATTAATAAACAAACAATCTATGACCTTATTCCTCTTCAAAAACCTTGAGACTTTACACACTTATTTCTGCGTCCCTTCCACATTACAAAACAGCATTCAAAATCCTATTTCGGGACCACCATCAGCTGCCTCACCACGTTCTCCTCACGGTCTGAAATCTTCACTCTTTTAATTTTGGGAAAAGTGAAGACGATGCGATGTTAAAAAAAAAAACTCTACAAGATATAATTATGAATTCTATGCCCATAAAGTACACAAGCTCATACAGTTGCGTTTCGCTGCTAAGTAATAATCCAACTGAAGAGTATCATCAGAAGACCCTTCTGATTGGTTGCCAAATTACATTAAGGCACCATAACAGATTCTCGAGATATACAAAATAGCTAGATACTTTCGACATATCTCGATATAGTCACTTCGCTGTGAAGTAGCGTTTAGGAATCTTGGGCATTATTGTTGGAGTGAGTTCAATGCGCACTAGATTCCCTGCATTTGTGGATACTCCATACTTGTGACCTTGTGCCAATCTGACTTAAACAGGGTAAATATTTACATAAGATATCTCGTTGTAGAACCATAGTTAGCAAGCTGGTTATGCAGACGCTTAATGAGTCAGGTGCTTACTTGGTGTTCCATACTTGTGGCCTTGTGTCATACCAAGCTAAGCTTAAAATCGAGAGGAGAATTTTGATCTTCATGCTTATGCAAGTTCATTTCCCAAATATTAAAAAACATGGACTTGTTTCCGGTCAGTATTCATTCATTAGCGCCCGACCCTCAGAGACAAGGCAGCAGCAGCAACGTTTCTGCAGCTGATGTGTCACTCGTTTCTCCTCTTCTTCCTGAAAGGTAACTTTCTTTGCATGAAGAATTCGGTGTAGCTGTTATAAAATAAAATAAGACATATCTCGGCTGATTTGCAGGCAAATAAACTAACATACTCAAGAGCGAGAGCCGGATGTGAACGGGACAAGGCCCCGTCACAAAATGACCATTATCGTCGTCTACGCATAAGCCCGACGCACGAGTTCCGGTCGAAAAATAAAATAATATTTTAAAGTGTTTGTATTTTTCGACCAATAAAAATGCTTCCCTCCTAATTATACTCGAGTCGTTTTTCGAGCCTGTTAAGCCATAAAAAAACGCCATAAAAGGGGTCACACGGGGAAGTACAACAGCAGTCAACAGGAGGCCAGGGAAGAGACTTGTCACGGTCAGTCAGCAGCAGTCAGCAGGAGGAGCGCCACGCCAACCAGTGTGAACTACTATGAGAGATCAACCCAGACCGGGAGCCGGCTTATGAACTATACCACAAGGTAGTTGTCCCAAACACACACGTTCCTATTGAAATAAATCACGTAAATCTATTTCTGTTGTTGTCGTATTTCCTTCTTGCAGCCATACGCTTGTCTATAACATAGCCGTGTGCTTTGGAGTTACAAGCTTGAGGATCGTCACAAAAGGGACACAATCGAATCGTTGATTACAATCCATCTCCGATCAACTGATAATGTTTCAATAAAATGTCGTACAATATAAAATGTCCATATTTATTGTAGACAGACATTTGTTGTAGATATTTGTCGCTGGCTGAGTGAATAATTGGAAATATTTTATTCAAATTGAAAGTCAAATATATTAAAAGACACAAACTTCGAAAACTCTTCTATAAAAGAATACTTTAATTTCTTTTTTTGGTATGAATAAAAAAAACAAGCACACATGTTTGGTACATTATTCTGCTGAGTTTTGTAAATAAATACCAATCATTGATATTTATTTACTTTATTTATTGAATAAAGGCAAGCAGCCATTTAAACATTGAGAAGAGGAATTGATCTTAACAGAATCTTGTCTATAAATCAATAGATTTTTATTTATGCTAGAGAATTTAATTTCAAATCTGTCGCTTTTCAGCTTTGATGACAGTTTTCGTCTGAGACAGATTTGAATGAGAAAGGTGATCAACTGTCTTTAGAGACTAGCACACAAAATATGATTTCTCTTTTAATTTAAAAAAAAATGAATGCGTACACACAGAGAGAGAGAGAGAGAGAGAGAGAAAGAAAGAGAGAGAGATAGGAGCCGAGACAAATTCGGGTCGAGAAATGAGGTTCTAGTTTTCTCGCGATCACGAGAAATAAAATAAAAATTAATTCCCATGATTTCACAGGAAAAAGAAAACCATCATACCGGCGGAAAAATAGAGACTTTCTCTTTTTCATCGCAAAGAGAGCACATGGAATTTGAGATGCTCCAGGAATGAAAACCACAGATAAGTCTTGCACAAATATCACTTCCTCGTGTTTAATATTACCTTTTAATGATAGACTTATCACTTTGCAAATAATTTATTCATTCACGACGACAAACACAAAAATCATAAACATTTACTAACAACCACATTACAAGAACTTTCTTATAGCTGCCAAACTAGTACAACCAAATCCTTAGACAATAAACCCTTATATATATATATATCACTTTGTTGTTATGTTATATTTTACTAACCAAAAACAGGAGTCAAACAAGGCCCGTTATAATAAGGTTAACGAGCTTGTTTCGAATCAATCATCCAAGTTTCGAAGGTATATCTGCTGAGAAAATCAGCCTTCGAAGCCATTGCTTTGTTTTATTTTGTTTTTTACTTGAACACTGACCACTAGTGCCAGCAAGAAATAAGCAAGTACCTTAGCCACAAGGTATGCCTACGTCCTTGAAATGTTTTATTTTTTGAACTGTTATTAATTTGAAAATGTGGATTGGTTAATAAACAAAATACAAATGGAAGCTTTGCAATGTGACTAATCAAAATCGAGAACAACACTTAAAAAAAAAAAAAAAGACTTTTCCTCAATTTATTTTTTATTTACACATCAGATCCCGATTCACCGAGTCGCTCAGATCCAAAGTACAGCGAATTCCATCACTGGCTTGTAGTTAACATTCCTGGTAACGACATCAACAAAGGAGAAACAATGTCGGAATATATTGGGCCAATACCAAACAAAGGTTCAGGTAAGTCCGCATTCTTTTTTCATTTCTTACTGATTTTCTCATTAAAATTTCACATTTTTCCATACGA